TCAAGTCGGTATTATGAAAATCTACATAATATGTCTAAATATCAAAAAAGTTATAGTATTCAATATGAAAGTATTGCAAAATTATTCTCTTTTCAATTTTTTTTTTGTTATATGGATACAAATATAAGTGATACCAATACAGTAATTGTTGTGGTATGAAAGTGTAGTAATTAACATTTACTGTAACAATGTTAATTCACACAAATTAAGAAATAAACAAATGAATGAAAAATGTTGAACATGTACAATGAAATTTAGTTTTAGAAATCAATTAGGCCAGATCGGCCTTATAAATTTTTTTTTTTTTTTTTTAACATACTGAATGACCATTTACACTCAGGACCGAGTCATCAGTAGGCAGTACAGATGTATTAAAACAACCTAGCATCATATTGCTAGTAGCGAGTGTAGCATTGTCGGGTAAATTTGTTCTTTTTTTAAAATTTGGTTAAAGGACAAAAAATGTTTGGTTCAAATCATAATAAAATGCTTTTATCTCCTTATTACTTACATTGTACATAGAATGGATACTACCCTGACAAATCCTTGTACATGAGAGTTGTCTGTCAAATCTTTATTTCACAAAGAATGAATTGCATAACAATGAACTGAGCTCAAAGCAAAGCACTTTAATAATACACTTAGACAAAGAGCTCAATCCAGTGATATACTTTGTACTACAGGTCCTTCATGAACATCCTATCCACCAAAACCATATCTCACAAACATGCCATACTACATGTACATGGTTCGATCAGAAGTCCTGAAAAAGATATGAATTTTATTATCATATTTTAATTATACATACACAGGTTAAAAGTTATATACTCCAATGGCAGTCTTTCCTGCTAAAATGTCATGTGTAGAATGTGATATACCATTTTTGGGTCTATATGACTACTGTCCTTTATATTCATTAGGTCATTTTGACACAACAAAATATATAGAAAATGTTAACTTTGATCTGGAAATTGAGTTCTTTTTCGCAAAATAAACCCACTAAAACTAAACTTTGAATGCAAAAGACCCCTAAATGGCTAACAGATATTGCTATAAAGAATAGTCCATGATGATTATTGTTATTAAAGAGTTCATGAAATGTACACCGATTCTGTCAGTTGAATGGACTAGAATGAGATAAGTTATATAAACATAAAGGTTTTTTCAACAGTTGTGGTGTAAATTAAATCAGTTTTATTTTATGGTGGACATATTTAAGTATATATGTAGACCATTGGCTTTTCAACACATTGATATTTTACAATATCGATTATCTATTTATTGTTATATTGTTGGTATTTTTCACCTTCCTAAAACAGTTTTAACGCAACATGAACGCAAGCTTAATAGATCTTGATAGTGTGTCCTCACATATTTTGATGTTGCTGAAAAATTTTGGTTGACATATGTATCCTCTTCTCATCGTTTTTCGTGCTATTAAGAATGCATACTGTCGTCACAATTTCCATTGAAAAGGCATGCATAGTACAAATTCATATGACGAACGAAAACATATGATCTGACCATATACATGTACATGTATGTATAGGTTATCAGCTTTTCTACACATATTAGCCAGTAAGCCGCAATGAACCTATTATGGCGAGTGAGCGCAGCTAATGAGCTAAAATGAATCAAATTGTGTCATCAGTGGGGGATATTTTAAGGGATCTATATGAAGAAAACCTGATCATCTGTTTATCGTTCTATTACTGGCTTTTTCACCTCCCCAACTTGGCCTCAGACAGTTTTTACAGACGAAAGCAAGCTTGATAACTACTCCTCACACACATGTATAGATTATCGGCTTTTCTACACGAGTCATGAATATCGTAAAATGTTAGCCAGTGAGCAGGCCCGCAATGAACCTTTTTAGCAATGAGCCCAGCTAATGAGCTAAAATGAATCAAATTGTGTACTCAGTCACAGTTGGTGATATTTAAAGGTATCTACACAAAGAAAACCTGCTTATATAAATCTTAGTGGCGGATCCACAACTTTTCATAAAAGGGGGGTGGCCGCTGACTGACCTAATTAAGGGTTGCCCACTCCCATCATGCTTCCCCAGTGGCGGATCCGGGGGGACGGTTCCGAGGGTTGGAACCCCCCCCCTTTTTTTGGACGATCAATGCATTTGAATGGGGACACATAGTTGGAACCCCCCCCCACCCTTTGTCCAGAGTTGGGAACCCCCCTTTTATAAAATGGCTGGATCCGCCCCTGCTTCCCTATAAAATCAACCAAATTTTCCACACCCCCTGGATCCGTCTATGTAACTGTTTATCGTTCTGCGTAATACTGGCTTTTTCACCTCCCTTACTTGGCCCTGAGACTACTCTCAGCTTGGCCCTAGACAGTTGCTTATCTGTTTATCGTTCTGTCACTGGCTTTTTTTAGACTAGAGACTTCATGTGTACAAACCTGACGTCAAACTCGTGTACTATAAAAGAAGAGACAAATAATTTCACATTAAATCCTGTAACATTACATCTAAAGATAATTACAATCCAAAGTAAATTATATTACGATGTCAATGGACTAAATTCACGCGCAAATGTCATCACTGGGATAGACCAAAACGAATTTTAGGTTTATGTATCATTCACATTCCGATCAATTCACTCAGTTAAATAAAATCAGAGACATATAATACAATATAATATGTCTCTGATAAAATATATGTGTTAACTATTTTTATATTGGTTTTGAATTTAGTTGAATCTATCAGAAAAAAGGATTTATTTCTCGCAGATAGCCCTCAATACTATACACCAACTCGACACTAAAGCTATAAAACCCTAAAACATTATAGTATATGGAATCGTCCAAACGGATTACCTAATTTTGATATAGGTGAAATATGTAGATTCAGAATTGTGTACACAGAAATAAGATCAGAAATAAAGCCCTATGTAAGGTGAAAACAATAACACAACTGTATAAAATCATTGTTTATTAAATTTGCTTGCATAAGAACCATGAAGTTAAAATTTATAACGATTACGTTTATCCTGTCAACCCCTTTTCTTCATTGCATCAAGGCTTCCGTTGCTTTACATCGAGCAGCAATTCAACCAATCGGGGAATGTTAAGTTGGGACATACCTCTATTTTTGGAAGCGTGATCTTTACATCGAGGCTTGCGTTGCTTTACACCGAGGCCACAGTAGTTCGACCAATCGGGGAATGTTTATTTGGGGCATGTGACCTATTGAACTGCAGGTTTTATAATATTTTAATCGAAATTGTAGAAAAATGAAATGTTGTTAATACATACAAAACAGAAAATGATGAATACTTTTAGTAAAAGATAATTTGGATCCGGGTTCTGTGTATTCACTTCATTTGTACAACTCTCCTTACTGATGCCATTTTTTGGAATTTCTGTGACCTAAATGGTTCGCGAAAATTAATATTTTATTATATATATAGTAACTATCAGATTGTTGATTTACAAAAATTGTATTTGTTGACATTAGCTTTATTGGTTTCGTACATTTTTACGAAAAGCATGATCCTGTACATGTGAAACTGCTTGGATAATTTTAAATAAAGATTTTCATTTTCAGTTTATTGAAAAATTTGTTACATATATTTTCATTTCAGATATTTTTGCTATATTTTAATTATTGCCAAAATTGCAAAGGAACAGATACTAGTATTGCAAAATTAAAAACTCGAATTCTAAATATTGACAGCACTATTTGTTTACAGTTTTTACTGAAATCGCAATTATTAGTCACGAAACTTTGTCGATATGCAAAAATAAAAACTCTAATTTCAAATTTTGATAGCATGAAATTTTGTAAAAAAAATGCAAGCAAAAATTTCTGAAGTTTCAGTATGATATATGAACTTGAGTGTTCATTGTTTTATTTTTCAAAGCGATGATATTAATAGTAATTTTCGTGCAACTGTTTTGAAATTTTTATTTCACATGTTTTCGTGCTTGACGCTTATTACACACCATGTTTCGTATAAATTGGTCAAAAGCAACATGTAATCTAGTTTTTTTTTAAATTTTTCGTTTATCTTCAAATTGCCATTTTACTTCCCGTTCGTCCGTTTACAAGGTCCCCTCTCCCCTTTTCCGATTTTCAAGTTCAAGTTTCTTTTCCTCTTCCCTCAATTACACTAATCAGTGATTTCCGACATTATGTTAACAAAATTTATTCCACACCCACCAAAAAAAATTAACTTCTGTTTCAATATTTACAATATTAATTAAATTTTACGCTTAGTACTTTCTACTTCTATTTATAGACCACATTGCGGACGTGAAAGAAAGCACTGTAAACAACGTTTTTTATAATCATGAACTTCCAAATGTTAGCTGGAAAGATATCATCTAGCATGAATATCAAGTCAAGAATATCAGTATAATAGGCATGACATAAAAGTGTTTTTCTCTTATGTCGAAAATTGAATAGTGTGTCAATAGTTTTACAAGACAAATTTCTTTCTTTTTATGGAACTGTATAGTGTATATATTTACTTGTGAATTTCAATATATGAAATGAAAATAAAAAATATCCAACGTTATAGTATAAGCTTTAATTTATAATATTGCGTGTGTATGTGCCTGTGTTTATAATTTTACTTCATTTTATGTTGTAATGTTACACTACTATTTCCGGTTAGGGTGAAGGTTAGCGCCTGTTAAAACGTTTAAACCCGCTACATTTGTTTGCACCTGTCCCTAGTCAGGAACCTGTTTCAGAAGTTGTCATTTGTTGATATGGTTCTTAAGTGTTGCTCGTTTCTCGTTTCTTAAATAGATTAGATCGTTGGTTTTCCTGTTTGAATTGTTTTACACTATAGTCATTTTGAGACCCTTTATAGCTTGCTGTTCGGTGTTGAAGGCCGTACTTTGACCTATAATTGTTTACTTTTTACACATTGTGACTTGGATGGAGAGTTGTCTCATTGGCACTCATACCACATCTTCTTATTTCTATAATCTTGCTTCATGGTCTAATAGATTTATACGTTCTACTTCAGGCAATTCGATATCTAAGTTAGAAGAAGAAAATAAATGTCTTGCAGAGCGATTTGCTAAAGTTGAAGAAATGTTGCTTTCTTTACTAAAACATAACAAAGACACAATGCCAATTGGTAAGTACATTTTTAAAAGAATAGCAAACAGGTATATAATATGTTTACAGAAAGGCATTTCGATTCAATATGTACCTTTTAACCGCAGAGATTAATTTACAAGATCAGTATTAAATCTGTATTTAGATTGTACAAAGACAGGCAACACGGTTCGCCTCCGGTACAGATATCACTGCCTTATATTAGAATATAAAACCACCAATTCATGCACCCACTTCAATTTAGAATATGTAAAAGTAACCCTTCCCTGACAAAAGAATAGTGCTTTTGATGTGATTGTTTACCTTAACTAACAAACAAGTTTGCAGAAATTAAACTTTTGTGAAAGAGAAACACATATGTAGACCATTATGAGCCAAAATATATATGTTCTTTAATTCCTCTTGTACAGAGATGTGTAATATATACAATTATATAAGTATAAGATCAAATCATTCATGAGTAATTAATTTTTTTGGCAAGTAAAGGAAAACAAAGAAAGAAAATTAATTGTCTTCAGAGAAAAACACACGAGCAGTGTCACGTAAGAACTTGGCGCAAATGTTCACAAAACTGTTCCATATCTGGACAGTTTTCTATGACAAGATTTGTATGACCCATAAGAACCTTACGTAATACACACGTGGAAGACGAGAACAGATTGTCTTGAAGAACATAAGTTTGAATTCCAAATATCAGTTTGAGGTATGAATGTTACCAGTTTTGCAAGGAAGAACGCATTGAAAAGTCGACAGTCGTTTTAGCAGCTATCCATCCACTGAAAATTCCACCAGTATGTAAATTTGTAAAGCGAACAAAGTCACTGTTATGTTCCATAAGCATATGGCACTCTGGTGTAGCTAGCGCTGTTATCGCAGAATTAACAGTCTTTTTCCACAGCAATTTTATGGGAAATGTCTTTGTATTAACATATTGCGTAAGGTAATGTTCGGGTCTATTCTTAAACAAAGTAGTTACATCAGGTATGTATAACTTTAAGTTTTTTCCGGTATAAAACCACACATATCTCTGTTACCACATAAAACACAGTCTACGGAGAAAAACACACTTCCCTGTTCAGGACGCATTTAGGGATGCTAATGCCTGAAAGAACATTAGTTCTTCCTGTCGATCTCACAAACAATGTCATGTTGGCCTGTGTTTATACCTGGTTTCTATGAAGTTAAACTTAAGGTAAAACATTTAGAAAGCTGTGAAAATGGAAAAATTTGGTTGATTATATAAGGGTTTTGAACTGGTGGTCTGACACCTAAAGTGCCACAAAATTTGGCGCAGTTATATTATTATTTGATGTATTTGGTTCATATTGCAATTCTTTACAAGAAAAATGACACTTGTTTTTTGCAGATTTATTTGAACCCTATTTAGTGGAATGGCAAGAAGAAGAAAAAGACTTTGTTCTTACAAGAGCGGCTCAATATGTTCTTGACGCTATTGTCACTGACAGTTGTAAATGCATAGTAGTCACTGGCTGTCCTGGGAGTGGAAAATCTGCAATTATTCACCATGTTGTCATATTTCTACAGAAAACTATGGCATACGAAATAATACCAATTGTTTGTGAACCGGGAGATTTTAAACAATATTTTAGTTCCAGCAGACGGCAAGTATTTGTTTTAGACAATACATTTGGTACGATTGCAGTAAATGCACGACTTGTTGAAAGTTGGTATGCCAATCTAGAAGTAATTGAAAAAATGTTAAACATTGGCAATACTAAAGTTCTTTTATCATGTCGTATGCAAATAATGAATGATTCTCATCTCCAACGACTTAAACTATTCACATCGAACGAATGTAATTTGCATACAGAAAAAATGTTTTTGCTCGAAAAAGAACGCATGATGATTGCAGAAAGATACCTAAACATTTCGGAAATAAAAGAAATTTCGGATATAATGAACCTGTATGAATTCTTTCCACTGCTTTGTAAATGGTATGCAAAGAATAAAAAAACAAGTATTAGAGATTTTTTTCAAAACCCTGTTGACATTTTTAAACAAAACATCGTCGAAATGAAGGAAGATCCAAACAAAATCCAGTATTGTGCATTTGTTTTATGCTTATTGTATAATGGGAGATTACATGAAAAATGGTTTGAAATAGGAAGTGAAAATGAAAGTACATTGCAATCGATTTGTGGAGAATTTGGAATTGACTTTCGGATTAAAAGAAAAAATCTACAGCAGCAACTGGATAGACTTGAGAATACTTATATTAAGAAAGTTAACAGAAATTATTACATTGTGCATGATAAAGTATATGATGTCGCAGTGGTAATTTGTGGACAAGACCTTATAGAATGTTTTATTGAATATACAGATTCTACATTTATTGGTGATCGATATCAGTTAGAGTCCACTGAAACAGACTTTGATGAAACCGTCATTATAATACCAAAACAACACGAAGATAGGTATTTCCAACGAATTTTGAAAGATCTAGTAGAATATGGACATATATACAGTTCATTTCAAAATAGACAACTGCAGAATCAACAGTATAGGGATAAGCTTATGGCATTCATGCGAAGCAATAAATGTATTATAAGAAACATACTGCAAAAGATGGACGAACTTCAGCTACGTTTAATAGAAAGCAGGCAACAACAGACCGAAGATATTATTTCACTCTCCGCTGAAGAAGGTGACCACTCATCTTCCGGCGAAGATAGTGACCACCCATCTTCCGGTGAAGATATTGACCACTCATCTTCCGGTGAAGATTGTGACCACACATTGTTCGGTGAAAACACAGAAAGCGATAACACGGAAGTGCAAAGGCCTAGAAGAAATAAACAAAATACCAATCAGATATGTCCGACAGATGATAAAGACTTTCCACTACCACTTCTAGAGTCTTCTGTACAAGGCCACGAAGATATTGTAAAACTCTTGATCAACTTTGGCTGTAATGTCAATGTTTTTGACAAATTTCGTAGAACTGCATTGTTTCTTGCAGCTTCACATGGTCATCGTTCTACTGTCGAAACACTTTTACAAAGCAACTGCAATTCATCATTGTGCGACGTCTGGGAGCGATCCCCTTTTTATGTTGCTTGCCAAGAAGGTCACTCAGATATAGTTAAACTATTACTAAAGGTTTCAGATATCTCCAAATCAGACACGTGCTACTTTAAAACACCCCTTCATGTTGCATGCGAATTTGGACATTTTATGATAGTGAAGATGTTGTTAGAAAATGGATCTAGTATTTATCAGTGCAATACTGATGGCCATTCGCCATTGTTTGTAGCTTGTGAAAGGGGACATACGCAATTAGTGCAATTACTTCTTGCTCATGGCGCTGATATTAACCAGAGAGACGAAAAAGACAAAACACCGCTCTTTATTGCTTGCGAAAACGGTTATTCTGAAGTAGTGAAAATTCTTCTTGATCATAAAGCCAATATTTCATTATGCAACTCTGATGGATTATCGCCAATACATGTAGCCTGTAAGTGGGGTCATACAAATACAGTAACCATTTTGATAGAAAGAAACGCCGATATTAATAGATTAGATCGTTTATATGGGCGAACGCCACTTTTCCTTGCAGTTGAAGGACAATATAGTGAAATAATTGAGCTTTTGGTCGAAAACGGCTGCGTTATGTTCTTTCTTTTAATTATTCTGAATGGTCTCCTTTGATAGCAGCTTGTGAAGGTGGTTACGATTCTATAGCACAAATGTTGTTAGAACGAAATTTTCACATAAACATCCGTGACAGGAACTTCAAATGTCCTATTCACATAGTCTGTGAAAATGGTTTTACAGATATTATGACAACTTTGTTAAGTCATGATTGTGAAGTCGATCGTTTAGACGGAGATGGCCGATCAGCTTTGTTAATAGCATGTGAGAATGGATATTCAGATATTGCTAAATTACTGCTTGAAAACAAAGCAAACCTTTTACTGACTGATGAGGATAACTGGTCACCCTTTCAAGTAGCCTGTTACGAAGGACATGCAGATATTGTTGAATTGTTAATACAATATAATGCTGAAACAATGCAATGTGATGATAAAAACCGTTCACCTTTATTTATCGCATGCATGAAAGGCCATTCAAGTGTGGTAGAATTATTGTTATCAACGAATAGGGCCGATGTAAATCAAAGTGATGTTCGGAAATGGACTCCATTACACATTGCGTCAAAGGAAGGTCATAGAGATGTCGTAAAAGTATTATTAAAATATGGAGCTGACAAGAATTTACCGAATGATACTGGTAGAAGTCCTTTAGATTTAGCTCGTTCTTCATTTCGGACTGCCATTGTACAATTGTTAGATGTTGACACTTCATCAAACGATTGACCACATATATATATATAATCAATTGCAAATCATAAACACATCTTTAGCTCATCTGGTCTATGGCCTGTATGAATGAGCCTATGCTACTACAACTTGGCTTCCGTCGTTTTGTATACATTTTGCATAAAAGGTAATTCAAGCGGATGGTTGTCATATTGGCAATCATACCACAGCTCCTTATTTTTATAGTAGTCAATGATACTGACATGATATAAAGCAAACTTATTTATTTTAAATTGTCCGTTTAGAAATTTAGAATTTATCAAGAATATCAGGTTTCAACTCCCTGAGGAAAAGTTGACCTTAGCTGGATTTAGCTGTTAATTTTATGTCCTTTTTGGTCATATATAGCTCTTCAACTGTTTCGGTTCTTGTACATCCTTGGCTTTCAAATTTTCGGCTTTGAGCGTTCCTGGTGAAGGTATTTCCAGAAAAGCTCTTCGGACGCAAGACATTTATAAAGTGTTGTTTTCATTTTTCTTTAAACATAATGATAATAGATATAGAACATCCGACGCGTTTCAAAAAATGTTCAGAATGTCAAGTACCCTATTATCAAATAACAAATGTCACCTAATTCCCTAATGATCAGTTATCTTTTTAAAAAAAACTACAATAAATCGAAGTTATAAACAGCAAAAATGATCAATGAAGCATTACTCGATTTACAAAAATACAATCATGCTTTAAACCATCTGTCGACTACTTGGAGGTATTGCCTTTAATTGACGATTTTTGACACATTTTTTATCTTTACTGGTCCAGTACAGTTACCGTTAGAAATTCGCAATTTTTCTCCAATAACCTTTAACAGGAAATACTGATGGAAATGTTCTGTTAACACGAAAAGGTTCACCAAAAGTTAGGTCTAGGCCCATAGCCTCGGACTTTAATCTCTCTTCTATACAGCGTCCATGAATACGAAGACCAATTATCATCACTTATGAATCTAGTTCCTAAATTATAGAAATGACATATTAATAAGAAAATTATTGTCATATTTTGCTGGTTTGAGGTAAATTTGATAGACTTAGGTGTTATCATATCTCATATTTACGCATTGATAACGGAAACATTACTTAGTGTATATACATGAAAGGATTTTATATATTGATTGATTAATGCGTGTTTAAAGCCCAGTGGCAAATATTTAATGCATATTCAGGATGAGATTAATACAATGGGTAAAATCTACAAGGTACCTCGACCGGAATGATTGGCGTTTGTTTTTTTACTGCTACTATAGGTAATGAAAGTATGTTGGATTAGGACAGAAATTGTGCCTTGATACAATTCACTCACTAAGTTCAAATAAAGTGGATGTAAGCAATTATAGGCAACCGTACAGCCTTCGACAATGAGAAAACCCATACAGTATAGTCGGTTATAAAAGGCCCCGATATGACAAACCTGAAACATTCAATTAAAAAAAATAAAGGCCTAATTTATAACATAACAAATATGACAGAATTGAACCAACGACAACCACTGAACTACAGGCTCCTGACTTGGGACAGTCACATATAGAATTTGGCGGGGTTAAACATGTTTGAAGACGCCAACCCTCCCCTAACCTGGGACAGTGGTGTAACAGTACAACATAAGAACAAACTATACAAATCAGTTGAAAAGGGCTTAACTCATCAGATCGATACAAAGTAGAAAAACATCTAACAGAAACACAGACCGGACGTGGCAGCGTATTTATATATCCCTTACAACAAAAAAGACACAAAAGTACAGATCTTAGAGTATTTGCAGATTGTAGTACCGTGAATGTATTTGTATAACAATAATATTTAGTATGGTTTTAATTTACTGATAAAAAAATCAATAGTTATACCAATTAAAACAATATTTAAAGATCCAATTACAGTGTTGAATTGGTAAGTAGTCATGATGTGAGGTGCATAGGATCCTTGTTTTCTTGTAATATTGATGACGTTGCTATATACATGCATATAAAGACATATATAAAATCTATGCAAAAATACAAAATTTTGTTAAAAAATGTATGATTTCGCTGCCACCAAATAAAGAACTTTTAAGTTTCATTTCAGTAACTGGCTAAATTTTTTATTTGTCCCATCTGTTATGGAAATTATTAAATAAAGTTTATTCTAACTGCGTTTTTATGTCTAGTGTTCCGCCACTTGTATAGACCTGCAACGCTTCGTAATGTTGTCATAAATAAACGAAAGTAGCATTACGAATTGACAAAATAATATTCAACTCAGGTTCTTAAACTACATAGCAAGCCCTAGATAACACAATTTGTAACATTTTTGTACAAGAAACGACCAAATATATAATTATGGTCGCAAATGGACAATCAACAGAAAGAGACTACAGCGACATGTAGTTCAGTGGTTGTCGTTGGTTCTTGTCTGTCATAATTGTTTTTCGTAAATTGGTTTCTTACAAATAAGGCCGCTAGTTTTCTCAATTGAATTGTTTCATATTTTTCATGTCGGGGCCTTTTATAGCCGAATATACTTTATGGGTTTTCTCATTATTGAAGGCCGTACGGTTGCCTATAATCGCTTACATCCACTTCATTTGAACTTTTGTGAATAGTTGTCTCATTAGCAATCATACCACATCTAATTTGTATATAGCAGAGTCATTTCTTACTGTTAAAAAGTGCTTACTTACTTGAATGCAGTATATAGGGTTGAGGATATGATATTATATTTAATTTTATCTACACCAGTTAACCATATAGATTGTTTTTATTTATATGTGAAAACTTTTTAAAAAGTGATGTTGGTTTCACAATGTAAAAAGAAATAGACCTGATGACCTATATTTACTAAATTCTACGTCAGTTGGTTCTGGTGGATGGTAGTCTCATTGCAATCTTACCACATCTCCTTATTATATATTTTATATTAATTCTCATGTTTTTGCATTATCATTTTCCTCTATGTATTTTAAGGCATCGCCTCTTTTCTATTAATCTTGTTGTATTTGCTTGTATACATATTCAAATGTGTTTTGTGGTTATTCATTACATGTGCCACAAGTTACAATTAGTTTGCTTCTATGACAATGAATTACTACCATCAATTAATTGTGGTTTGTGGTTTAGTTTTCTTTTGGTATATATACTTGTTCACATATTTATAGATAATTAGTTTGCTGTTGTCTTATATATGTTAGTTTCTTATTTATTTTTCATAAAGATGTTTTAACTAAAATTTCAGGATAAGATGTTTTCCACAATAACTAGACATGTTAAGCCAACACTATTGTATGCAAACCGTTTTGAAGTGTACATGTCCGTCATGTCATATGCTACGGCTTTGGCCCCATTTCCTCGTTCTAGTGGTCATATTATATTAAAGATTAAGTATGGTCCTCGGTAATTATATATGGCATGTCAACATAGTATTGTCAATTTGTGTGAATTTATCTGGCCTTTACATGATACTTGAGTTGTCAGATTATTATTTTCAGGGTTATATTGGTTCCTCGCCAATTTACATAACAGGTCAACAATATTTGGAATGTGGCATTGTTTTGTAAGGAGTAAATGTCTGTCTGGCACATGACATGTGGCCTTGAAACTAATTTCCATGTTCCGTTGGTCGGGTATAAATCTTGGATTATGTCTGTATCCTAGTTTCAGTGTTCGTTGCACATTTGAAAATTCGAAATTGTAACTGGTCAAGGAAAATGACAGCCTGCACTCAATTTAAACTGAATTAGTGTGCTTCTTTGACACCAATAAATATTGGTTGCAGCAATTTAGGCCTTACTTATTCATCTTCCGTTTTGCTTTTTCCAACCAATTTTGGCTTCTTTAAAAGGTGTTATATGAGAAATTCTATGAAGTTGATAAGGCGTTGGATCCAACCCATGAAGTTGATAAGGCGTTGGATCCAACCCAATGAAGTATTACAGATTGGATAGATTAAAACATCTAGATCGTTAAAGAAAAAGGAACAGAAATCTGAATTGATGAAAGGATAAAATCAAACTAATGCATAATGCAATTTTATATTATTTTTTTTGGGAAGAAGTGTAATGCAATACCTCTTAAGTTATTTTATTCGTACGTCTCCAAGAAATGTGGTAAGTATTAGCCTACAGCACTGTTAAGACCTTATTCCTAAATCAAATTGGCATTAGGTTGATTTATATTTCATATCCAGCACTTGTCTATAAGTCATAATATATATATATATATATATATATATAGTTTTAATTTATAAAGAATTAAGGAAAGATGCAAAGTGATATCATTAACTAGTACTTAACTGACCCAACCAAACCCTGTTGATTTTAGCTTATTTACTGGTAACACGCATTTTATTTTGAAGATCTGAT